ATTTCAAAAATAAATCATTTTATGCTCAAAGTGCTATGTCATTCCTAACATGGTGTGCAAAACAGGGTTCCTTTGATTAAACTGCAGGGTCCAACCCAGGTCAAAAGATAGAGAAATAGGTTCCGGACTGCAAAGCAAAAGAAAAGAGGGAAAATTGGAGCATCTGAGTTTGTTTCAACTTTAAAAAATTCCAAGATTACATTCCAGATGCACCTTCTCAGGCCTTGTCATTTCTCCAAAGTATGAATGTACCTCGACCTCAAGCTCAAGCCTGCTTCAATTCAAAATGGTGATTAAAGTGCTCTCCTTGAACACCATTCCCCATCAGAGGTGTCGTAGTTGTGTTTGCAATGAGTTCCTAGGAGACCAACTGCAACGGTGGAAACTAGGGTTCGAATGGCAATGCCTAGAACAAAAAGGTTTGGAATTTCCGAAACTAAAGTCTGGTTTAAATACCCAAGGGTGTATCCCCAGCTTGAAATCTGCATGGTAGCCCCATAAGTTGAGGTAGCGTGTATGCGCCTCAATTCTGGATACTAAACCAACCTAGTCTGTCACCCCATTGGAAAATAGGGAAAGTTATGAATATGATCAAGAAGAAAAGCGACATCTGTGGCTACTACATACAGAGGTTACCCCTTGTCAGCATTTGAGGGCCTTTGAACTGTGAGTTGAAGGTAAGAGTTCAAAGAATATAAGAGGGAGATCCCTGTCAGAGTAGAGCAGTTCATCGCCACTCGCCCATGAGATGCTTTCTAAAGTGCTACTTTGCTTGTTTACTGCATTCCCTAAACATTATACACTACATTGCTTGTAACATGTATCATATCATTGCACTTATTGCATTTATTTGCATCTTGTGTTATCTTGTATCATTTATCCTTTTACATTGAGTAGCGTTTAGGATCGTTGTCCCCTAGGGCTTTTCTTAGGACCTTTTCTCACGATTTCAGTGTGGTTAGAGTGCTCCCTTCCTCACACGATTTCAGCGTGTTTGAAATTTTTCTCAAGACGCATAGAACACGACCCTGAGCGGTTTTCTTAGGACCTCTTCTCACGATTTCAGCGTGGTTTGAGTGTTCTTTTCCTTACACAATTTCAGTGTGTTTGGAATTTATCTCAGGACGCATGGAACGCGCCCTTGAGCGGTTTTCTCAAGAACTCTTCTTACAGTTTTAGCGTGGTTAGAGTGCTCCTTTCCTCACACGATTTCAGCGTGTTTGGAATTTATCTCAGGACGCATGGAACGCAACCCTGAGCAGTTGTCTCAGGACCTCTTCTCATGGTTTCAGCGTGGTTAGAGTGCTCCCTTCCTCACACGACTTCAGCGTGTTTGGAATTTTTCTCAAGATGCATGGAACGCGACCCTGAGCGGTTTTCTCAAGACCTCTTCTCACGATTTTAGCGTGGCCAGAGTGTTCCCTTTTCCTCACACAATTTCAACATGTTTGGAATTTTTCTCAAGACGCGTGAAACGCGACCCTAAGTGATTTTCTCAGGACCTCTTCTCCCGATTTCAGCGTGTTTGGAATTTTTTTCTAGACACGTGGAATGCGACCCTGAGCGATTTTCTTAGGACCTCTTCTCACGATTTTAGCATGGTTAGAGTGTTCCCTTTTCCTCATACGATTTCAGCGTGTTTGGAATTTATGTCAGGACGGGTGGAATGCGACCTTGAGCGGTTTTCTCAGGACCTCCTCTCACGATTTCAGTGTGGTTTGAGTGTCCCTTTGCTCACGCGATTTCGACATGTTTGGAATTTTTTCTTCATCCTCTCATGATTCTAGCATGGTTGGAGTATGTCACTATATTCATCTACTACATTTCCCATCGTATTCATTACATCATACTGTTTTATTACCTATATCATTTCCATGTTAAGCATAGTTTTAGCATGTGCTCATACCTTTTCCTCGTTGAAACATGGTTCTGTCATGTGTAAGTACCCATGCTGCGCTGAGGCCAGTATTGAGGGTGTCAACACCTTTTCTGTGTTAGACGTGATTCGTTTTGTGTCCATGCCTTTTCTAGGTAAAATGAGGTTCGGCCTGCGCCTTTTATTCACTACATCCATTGAATCCATTACATTGTCCCTTGTTTTGTTGCATTCAGTATTTAGGATCACGATCTTTCCTCAGCAGATCACTCCTCACGTATATCATCCCACCCAATTACTTGTACTCTTTCTCTTTCTACGAAAAACATAGTTTTACATGTGCTCGCACCCTTTTCATGTTGAAACATGGTTCTGTTATGTGTAAGCATCCATGTTGCACTGAGGCCAGTATTGAGGATGTAGACACTTAGCCTGTGTTAGACGTCGTTTGGCTGTGCCCACTTCTTTTCTACATAAAACGTAGTTCAATTTTGTATCTCTATCCCTTTATAGTATTTGTGTGGTTTAGCACTGCTTGTGGTTTGATTATATTATTACATTGCACTACTTATCATTTTTATTATTTCGTTATATTGTGTATCATTTGTATCTTGCCCCTGAACTATGCTGGTTTGATTCCTTGCAACGGGATATGCAGGCAACCCTCGGGTTTAACCAATTGCATCTGCATTTTGTTTGTTTGCCCAAGTCTTACGGCCTTGTCAAAATGGGTCGTCGGGTTTTGACATTCACTCACATCATTTCATGACTTTGAGCTCTATCAAAGAGGGGCAACTGTAGACACCCCATTTTTGACCGCCCTTGATCACTTGATGATGAAAGATACGCTGTACAAACGTTCGATTTCTTCAGCAAGAAAAGCTTCTAAATCCCAACCTTACATCCCATTTTGGACCAAAACTATTTCAGACCTTAAAACCTTCTCTTTCAAAATATTTTTGAAAATGTTTCTACGATGTTTCGAGGTTCCCATTTTGGTAAACCGAGTAAGGACAAAGTGGAAATAAATGGAAGAGAGGTGAACTCTTTGAAAAATATTTAAAAACATCTTATTTAGAGGTTTGGAGTTGAAGAAAATTGAAGGAGAGGGAAGAAAACTAGTTGGGGAAGAAGTTGAGCATCAAATCGTTAAGAGATAACTAAGCAACCTTCACTAAATCAGGCCTATCTCTTTGTACACTTGGAATTTAGTTGTAAGGCCATCACCATTGGAAAGTGGACTTCTGGGGCTTCAATTTAGACTCAAGAATCTCCTAAAGCCAAGTCGGGATGAGAGAGATATGATCGTTTGAGGTTAGGCATCAATTCGGTTAAGATAGAAATGAGAAACCTTCACTAAAATAGGCATATCTCTTTGAAAACTTAGAATTTAGATGTGAGGCTACCACCATTGGAAATTAGAATTTCGGGGCTTCAATTTAGACTTAAGAATGACCTAAAACCAAGTCCGAAAAAAAGAGATATGCCCATTTGAAGTCGGGCCTGGAGGCATATTTTCTGTGCCCGGCAAGCTAATATTGGTGGCCAGTAGGCCACCATTTATGGTCTGCAATTCACACGCCTGGCTTGCCGGCCACTGGTGAAAAACACATATTTTTGGCCAGTTGTCCCCCAAAAGCTCCACCTGTTCCAGGCATTATATTTTCGACCTAAGGGGCTGTTTTTCTATATATACCAAGCCTTCCCTCATGGTTTAAGGTTGAAAAAAATTCCAAAAGTTCCAATTCTTGAAATTCTCTCTCTATCTCTATCTTGTAACACACACACCTTGCCCAAACACTTTCTAAGCCACTATTGGAGCTCTCATTACTGAGATTATTGAGTCCAAATTTCAGCCCTTGAGAGTGAGAACTTGTTGATTTGTGAACAAAAGTGTTATTCCTCTTCAAGAGGTATAACTACTAGCTCATTTGTACTACTTCTTTTCTATCTTTTCTTGCTGATTTTGAACTATTTTTCTACTATTTTTATGGACTGAAGCTTGTGGTTAAAGCTATTAAAGGTAGAGGGGTTAATCACCCTTCTTTGAACCTTGTTCTCTAAGCCTTTACACTTGTGTTTCCCATCTCTTCCTTAATTTTTTTTGAGTTTTTAAACACTGATTTTCAAAGTTATTTTAGTGGCTAAAAACATGTTTTGAAATCTAAAATTGGAGGGGTTAGCCTCCCCTTCTTGTGTCTTGCTTACTAGTTTAACATGCTCTATGTTTTGGCTTATTGTTCTAGCTTTTGTTAACTTAATTCTAACATGTTTTAGGACTTTTTTTAGACTGTTTTAGGACTAATTTTATGAGTTAGTTTCATTTATGCTTTCTATAGCATGCTTGTAGTGTAATAGTCCTCATAGGATTGGTGGTTTAGGCCTTAGCCACCATCTTATTTGAGTTGATAGTATTATTTATGACTTTTCATATTTGTTTTCATCTCTAATCATCTTTGCAACCTCCCTCATTTCTTAGCTTTTTCTTTGTTTTGAAAGTTGTTTCAAACTATTTGTTTGTTTAAGTATGAGATTGAGACATTATGCTTAATGGTTTAATCCCTTTGGGGGTTCATTACCAACAGTATGATGTCTCTTTCATGCCCAAAGCAACACTTGGTTTGAGCCCACATTCCATTAGAGGACTTAAACTCACTTTTGGACTTAATTGATTAAAGAATTGAGAGGTAACTAAAATGGAGTAATAAAATTGATGATTAAAAATGATGCAAGATAATAACTTGGTTAGGGTTTAATCAGACGTTAATTGAACCCTTGAGTCTTGAATCGTTTCATATTTATTAGTGATGAAAACGGTTCAAGATTTATTGTCAACTACTTCTGTCACGACCCAAACCCGCCCCTATAGGTTTAGCGTCGTAACCAGCCAGTAATCCAAGATTACCTTCGGCCTCAAAGACAAATTTTCAAAATATTTATAATCATAGCGGGGCCTAAAGCGGAAGCAAACAAAAATAACAATGTCCGTTGAGCTTGTGCATACATGATGACTAAAATAATTAAAACATTTAAATACAATAATAATTTACATACAAATCTTATATATCTCACACACATACATTTAAGACTCAGCAAAATTCAAAGCTCTAACAAAGCTAAGGGTTGATTTTTTTGGCTCTACTCAAGCCTAACTTGGTCCATTCCGAAAGCTCTTCAAAAGGCTGACACGGGTAGACTCCGAGACTTTCTCTATCCTTGTTGCTTAGTTTGTTCACCTACATATACATATAAATAGTGAGCTAAAGCCCAACGAGTAATAACAAAATAAAGAGGTTAAATGAATGAAGTTTGACGATAATACAAAAATCTGTCTTACAATTTCAAAACGAATCTTAAATCATTTTCAAAATAAGGCATTTGCCACAATATATCAAATTTTATAACAAAACATTTTCCATATCAAATCTCTTATCAAAACATATATTTTCTTTTTCCGAGACAATCCATTTCAGTCGGCAAATCAATTCGATTAGCCATCATATCAATCCCTTGCAATAATAAAAACCATCGTTTGATATCATTTCAATACAATTCCGATTTCAATTCAATTCTCAATGATCCATGTTATCTCAATAGCAATACTCTTTCAATGACAATTTACGTGGTACATCCAATAGAGTAACAATGTATCAATACCAATGGGACCTCGAGGGTCAATCAATGGGGCCACAATGGGTCAAGCGATATATCATATCCAATGTGACCATTAAAGTCTAACAACAGAAATCTCTGTGTTTCAATTACCCAATGGGCCACGGTATTGTTTCCCCCGGGCGAGGGCCAATGGGCCATGGTGTTAATTTCCCCAAGCAAGGGCCTGTTTATCAATGGGCCATGGTATTGTTTCCCCCAGGCAAGGGCCTATTAAACAATGGGCCATGGTATTGTATCCCCCAGGCGAGAGCCTCACTAAAGGATGCCACGAATACATTTTCAAAAGGAAACTTCATTCATTCGTAAGAGATTAAAGTTTCAATAAACCATTCATTTCAATAAGCCATTCAATCATTCATATATCAATTTCGATAACAATAACATTTTCAAAAAAAATAAATATAACTCGAACATATCTTTATAGAGTTATTACTCACAGTGGGTTAAGTCGATATAAGGCCTCGGACGTCCACCTGTACAAATCACACAACAAAGATACAATAGAAACACCATTCAATATTCATTTCGTTTTAATTCAGCTTTATTTATGTGTTTCTACCTTATTCCATGACTATATGAGTCCAATTGGTGCCTAAAAATACTTACAACGTCATGAGGATGCAAATAGGCACTTAAAAGGGTTAGTCAAAAATTGATAAAAATAGGGTCCTCGCTCGAGCGCCACTTTGGTCGTGAGAGCGGACTGTAAAATTTTGCAAAACTTTTGGGAGCTCGATTTTCATGCTCGAGCGACACTCTTTTCGCTCAAGCGGACACGACGAATTCTGGAATTTCCAGAACTATGTTTGAGCTTCAAAGTTGATATTCAAAGGTCCAAAACTTGTGTTTTTGGTACAAAAACTTGGAAAAACATTGTATAACATGAAAATACTTCCAATTCGAAATCATTTATTCAAAATCATGATCCAATTGTCCAAATTTAGATTTAATTTATTTTCTTTATATCAAACCCACAAATTTTAAAATATGAATTAAAGTTTCCAAACTCTTGAAAATTTCATGATGTATGTAAAAATAGAACCCAATTTCATTATTAATAATAAAAATCAAACTTAACTAATGAATTACAAAATCAATTCCTTAGAATTTCAACTTAACTCAATCTATAACCAAAACTTAATTTATGATCATAAATGTTCCAAAATGTGTTTAAATTGAATAAAGCTTTTAAATTCAATTACATGCATGGATCAAACAAATTCATAATTTTCATAATAAAATCAAAACTTTTTCTTACATTAGGATTAATTCCAAATTTCCATAAATTTGATTTTTCTAAAGCTTTTCCTTTCTCTCTTCAAAATATGAGATTGAATTAATCCAAATTCTTCAAAATCCATGATGCATGTATAATTAGAGTATTAAACTTGCAAAATTTATTCATGCATGTAACAATGAAGCTTAATTTCATGCAAAATCACAACATCAAACCCAAAATAATTAATTTCCATAATCAAGAACCTAACTTAATCTCTTCATCTTTATTTCCTAATTTCTTCCAAATTATATGAAATTGAACCCAAACTCATCTTTAATTCAAGTGAAATACAAGGATTCTACAAAATTCAAACTTGAAATCCTTACCTTTAATCTTTAATTTGATAGCCTCTTGATGATCTTCCATTTTCCTTTCTTGAAACTCCTTCAAAACGCACCAGCACAAAGAAGCAAGCTCTCTCTCTTTCTCTCTGTTGTCCTCCCCCTCTCTCTCTCAGCTGTGCTCTATCCAGCACAAAATGAACACCCAAAACACCTACACTAAGTCTTTAATAATAGATAAATAAAGCCTTAATAATAAATAAATAAAGCCACTTGTAGACACCCCATTTTTGACCGTCCTCAAGACTTGGACGTCATCGTTTGAACACTCGATGATCATCCATGTTCGTGTTCGTCTTGAGTTCTCGGAGGTTTCGGTCGCGTGCCTTGCCTTAAGAACTCTCGACTTGTTTTCTTTGTGCTTGGTCGTATACCAAATACTTGTGTTTTTGCTTCTGAGGGCAGAGGATGGCTTGTTGGCCATCCTTACACTCCACCGGCCAAGGCTTGAAGCCACCGGCCCACTTTTATAGCCATCGGCCAAAGGTTGTGGCCGGTCGGCACCTTTTGTGGTCGGTCGGCCACCTTTTTTGGTCAATTGGCCATTTTGGCTTGTTGACCCCCTTCCATCTGCTTTTGACAGATATTTTTTGCCAGCTGTCACAGCTGGCATCCACTTTAGACCCACTCCATACACGTATGGAGGGATTTGTCTCTTGCTTAGCTTATTTTGGAAGCTTTGCAAGATTGGAATTCTATAAAGAGGGAGCTTCTCCTCCCTCCAAAAGGGTTCCAGATTTCCAGAATTAGGGTTAGCGGATTTTGTATCTATCTATCTCTATTTCCTTCTTTTTGCCTTTGAGTGTGTGTAATAGTGTTCTAAAGGTGATTTTGTTCTTAGTTTTGCACTAAGACACCTAGTGTTACCCCATACCTTGGAGTTGAGGTCCCTTGAGGCTGAGAAACTTACCTTTTTATTCCCCATTTTTGCACAAGCTTTTAACCTACCTTGCATATGTTTTTAAGCTTAGTGTATAACTAATAAAATTTCTGTTTTTGCATGCTTTTGAAGTTTGTTTAAGATCACTTTTGTGTTTGGGGTTGTTTACCCCCTCTTAGGCCTTGTTTGGCCTCATTTTTGTGCCTTTTTTTTGTGAGCTCCAGGATCACCTTGTATTGGCCTTCTCTCTAGATTTCAGTGGTGGGAATGGTGTTTTGAGGTCCTAAGAAGGAGAGGGCCATCCCCCCTCCTTATTGTCTTCAATACTTGTCATATTTGCCTCATGTGTGAGCACCTTGTTTAAGTTCATGTTGGCCATGTCTTAGTTGATATTTGGTGTTATTTTTCCATGATTTACCTATGTCCAAAGTTGGTTTAGACGTGTCATACATGCTATGTATACTTGTCTTGTAATCCCTTGATTTTGCCTTAACATGCACCTAGCATTTATACCACTATGCTTACTTGTTTTGGCTTGACTCCTTGAAGTTTTTATGCATGTTTTGGCATGCTTTAGGTCTGATTTTGGTTGTTTAGGCCATCCATGGCTTGCCTTGTATAGCTACCATGCAACCTAGCTTGTATGCTTTGAGTGTTGGCTCCTCTACCATGCTCTATTTGCATCATTTCAGTGGTTTGGCACCATTAGTTATGATATTTCAGTCCTTGTTTCATGCTCACATGCTTACATCTTATCACTCCTTTAATGCTTTAAAAGATTGGTGTTTTATGCTCCATGATTGGGTCATTGTGCATGCCTTTAGACTTAGGCCATTTAGATGCCATCTAAGTGGGTTTTTGGGCTCATCTTAGCATGCCATATCTCTGGTTTTGGTCGCCTAAATCATGCCATATTTGGTTGTCTTAGGTGTAGTGTAACACCTCTTTGGTGGCCCTGTATGCCTCATGCCTTGCCCCTTTTGTTTTAGCTTATTTTAGCTTTGGCCATTGCATGTTTTAGGCTTACTTTGGCATGATTTGGAATTGCTTTGGTCCACTTTGGTCATTTGCTTCATGTGTCACATGATCATGGTTTTAGCCTTTGGGCTAGTTTCAAGCTTTTTGTGCACGACTTGTTTGCATTATTAGGTTGATTTGGCATCATCCTTTGCATGTTTTCAGAGCATTAAAATGCTTGCCATATGTCCATGTTTGTCCCTTTTAAGTGTCCTTAAAAGTTGCCCTTTTATGCTTAAGTGTTGGACCATTATACACGCATGTTTGTATGTGACTTTGTCCCTTATCCCTTAGCATATTGGCCGCTGATTTGGACCTATTTAAGAGTTGTCCATATTGGTTTAAGACCATCCTCGCATGTTGTCGCATGCATGTCTTGCATGTTGTCGCATGCTTGCTCCATTTTACCTTTTGTTGCATGCCATGTATGGTTGCATTGTTTAGGTCATAAGCTTATTGACATGTTGTCCATGTTGCATCTTGCATGCTTAAGTTGCATTTTGCATGCTTGTTAGCTTGCATCTTGTCATATGCTTGATATGTTGTCACATATTATTGCATGCTTATCTAGGTTGCATTGCATTTGGCATGCTCGTCGCCTTAACATGATCATGTTGCATTAGTCTTGCTTGCATCCATGCATCTCTTGCCTCTTGAATCAAACATGATAGAGGTTGGAGGCCTCTTATTTGTCTTGTGTGCATTTCATTTGACATTGAAATTGCACACTTGGCCTCTTTGGCCATCATGCATCGAAACGCGTGATTGATGGCCCGAGGGTCGAGGACCACACTCCTTTGAGTTCATAACATGATAAGGAGGGTGTTTGTGCATATATTGCATTGTAAATGCTTTGCCATGCCATGCTCTGTCTGTCCTCTGCTGCTGTCAACCAGTGTTCTACAGGAGGAGATGGCCGGTCGGCAACTTCCAGTGCCGGCCAACTACCAAAATAGTGCCGGTGATCTAATTTTTGGTCGATGACCATAATTCCTTGGCCAGTGGTGTTTCCTCTTGGTCGGTGACCTCCCACAGTGCTCAGGGAGTAGTCCAAAAGTAACCTTGAGACTTGTGCAGTCCTCAGAGGTGTAGAGCAGTGTAAACAGAGGCAACATGAGCATGGCAGTGGATTTACGAGCGGAGCCAAGCGTGCATGCATTCGTCCCTCTTCCCAAGGCTGTTTTACTGCTTTCAGTAATTTAATTAATTTGTTTAATTAATTAAGGGTCTATAATATTTAATTAGCTTGTTAGTTAATTAATTTGTATTATTCATTCAGACCCTCCGAGAGAGGGCAATTTTGTAATAAGCGTGCGTGTGTGTGATGCATGTCTTCCAACCACCATTTCTTTCTCCCTTTGACTTAACCGCTTATGATGGTTAGTTCTAGGGCATGTTTCAATTAGCATCCTTATGCTATGCATGTTTGCATCATTCATCTGTATTGCATGCACCGGGCTCAGCGCATCATACCAACTATATAGTATTTTAAAATTCCAAGTTGAATGTATCGAGTTGTTGCATTTCACATGCCATCCGTAGATTAGCCGAGCCTATTCTAGTTGCATTTTGTATGCGATGCATTGGCCATCTTAACATGGACTTGGATCATACATTTGATTACTAACATGTTCCTTGTTTTGGCTCAGAGTACTAGGTAAGCGTTTATGCTTTAGCATACTGCATGCGTGTAAGTGTTGCCATGATAGCATGTTTACCATGAGGCTATGTGCTTATATGATATAACTACGTGAATGCCTGTGGGTGAAGGTTGGGTTGCTTGAATTGGAATAATTCATCGAAACCCGTGTTTTAGTCTACTTGCGAGTAGCAAATTTCAAATCATTTTCCAAAAGAAGACGGACATACGATGCTTTGTTCCAAATTAGGCGATCTAGTCTATACTTGTGTGTTGTGCACATCACATAGTAAATTCTAGCTAATTAACTGGAGTAAGAACACATATGTTTTCAAAACAAAATATCATGCTTAGTACAGGCCGATCTTAGGATCGGGCGAGCGGGGGTGCTCATAGCTGACTTTCCCCAATCGTACCCAAGTTCCCGAGCCGAGGCAACTTCGATGATGACGGACACGTGGCCTTAGGCAATGAATCAGGGTTTCCTAAATTCCCCCAAAATAAATATTTAGGTGGCGCCTCTGTATCTGACAAAGCAGTCCATGTTTGGCACTTCTTTCTAAAAATCTATTTTTCCAAAACGATTTGCCAGACTTGGACTCTTTGGTGATTTATCAATCTTGCATTGCACTTTGCGAGATCAGATTAAGAATCGTGACATTTGAGTCCGAACTGTAGTGAGCCCAAATGAACAAAACGAGATTCCCTCCCGGGACGTTTGGGGACGTCTACAGTTTCTGGCGACTCTGTTGGGGATTTAGAGAACTTGACTCGAACTCATGATATCTTGTTTTGACTACACTTATGTGTTTCTTTGCATTGCATTTGCATCAGTGCGCCTAGGACACCGTGTTTGCCGTCTACTATTCCTGAACGGTTTGCCGGAGGCTCGCTTTGAGAAGCGTGCCATAAGGTTGACCGATTACGGGCTCTGCCACGATGGAAACACAAACCCCGATTTTTACCAGGGCACCCCTATTGACCATTCGACCTAGTGCATATTCGGAATCCATAGTGACCATTTCAAACTAGGACAGGTTGCTTACCCGATTATATGTTTAAAACTGCTGTATGCGTAGTGAAAACCCTAGCTCCTGACAATAAGAAAGGGAAACCCTACCCCAACATAGGGGTGTTTTTGCTCTCACTTGTTTGTTATGTGCTTTAGAGTTGACCTCTACAAGGAACGCACATATCCATTTGCAAGACTGGGCATCAGGCCTGCGGGCATTGGTGTCAGTGTTTTGAGAATCAGTAGTATTTGCGGGTATCAGATTCAGTTTTGGGGCAGTAATTTTGAGGAACAGTGATCGATGATCAAATACAGTTGTTCAGTTGTGCTTACGATTGTTTGGGTAAAATTGGGCTGAGCTGCTGCCTGTTTTCTCTTTCAGGGGAGAAGGGGGGGAGTTTTAGAGATCTGAGTTCAGAATAGCTAGTGTTTTCCTTTGCTGAAGCAAGGCAGACATCTAATCAGTCAAGTCACCAGTCACATCATCTCCGTTCAGTTCAGCGGATTTATGATGTCACAGAATTCAGAGGAAGTTGGGGTTATGGCAGCCGCACTAAACCAAGGGATTATCTTA